ATTTTAGGGAAAATTGCAACGGAGATCCCAAACCTTTCATTTTTCTATAGATTTTATTCTAACCTTTCATTTTTGCCGCTGCAGTCCCAAAGCTTAAAATTTAATTGCAATTGAGGTCCAAATCACTGATTTCATCCATAATGCTGTTAGTCAACAGTGAAATTGTAATTTTAACTCAAATTGACAAGTTAAATGATGGGCAAAACTAGAAATTTACAATTTCCATAAACAATTAAACGAAAAATGAAAAAATAAATAAATAATACCCCCACCCCAACCCCAACCCTAACCGACCACCACCATCATTATTGCCACCACTATCGCCACTACCACCTCTCCTCCCACCGCCCATCACCACTATTACCATCTCTTTCTATTTATTTATTGAATTTCCTCATCTTATCTACTTCAAAACCACTAACAAAACCCATAGTTTCTAGCCCAAATTCAACTCATTTTTCCAAGAAATTTTAAGGGTTTGCGGAACCCACAAGAAATAGCATAAAGTTAGAATCTTTACAAAGATGTAAAGTGCTTCTTAGTGGAAAGAAACCAAATTTTAGTGAAAAACAAAAGTTGGGATTTTTCACTTTAGGTCATAATATTAGATGGTACTTGCGCATTTGGTATGCTTCCATCCCAACTCCCACATATGTTTGGGTTGCAAACCATGAAAATCCATCAAGAATTTGTCAACAGCGGAAATCTGTGAAAGGATTTCAAAAGGGCCAGAATTCATAAACCACATAAAGGGCCACAAATTTGTTGTTTTCAAGGTTTAAAGGTGCTGGGGTTTATGTGCACCCATAGTTTGTATCGAAGGCTTAGTCCAAGATTTTTACACCTTTTGATTGCCAAGACCTTAAATCGTATTTTCGCAAAGTGTCAAGATTTTGCACACCCCATTGCTAAATCGTGCTTCAATGGTCAAGGCATTTCTCGTTTCAACTGGACCTTGGTGGCCGATGTGTTAATATAAAGAGACACGTGGGCATACAAATAAGTTTTTTGAAGGCTGAAGTGATATGGAGTCTTGATGGACCAAAATATTTCAGTATTTAACATAAATTATGTTTTGGAAAATATTAGCGGTGCCATCCTGCCCAATCCAAGCACACCTTAAGTTTTCAAAATTGAAGCCAATGTGGTGGTTACATGGGGCAATGTACGTGGCACATCACAATCTCTTTCTCTGGTCTTTTATTTTTTTATTTTCACATTTATCTCCAAAGTTTACTATTTGAATTTTGTCAATCTTGACTATGCTTGTGCATGACCACTTAGGTTTGTGGGCATACACTAAAGAGACGTATACCTTCGCAAATGAACGCAATCTCAAAGTGTCGGATCACATTCATTCTACAGTAATTAAATTAAAAGGTTCAAATTAGATTATAACAGAACTTGTGATTTACAAAAACGAATTGAAAATGATTTTTTCTTGAGAATTGGGTCATAGAAATACATATGATTTTTCTTTTTCTTTTTTATTTATGTTGGGATTGTAGATTATTGTCCTCCAATTTCTCCAAAACCGAGCTCAGCAAACCACCAAATCGACACCACAACGACAACCAAACTCCAAACTAAAACCACAACAACTTGGTTGCTTCCAAGGTTCCACAAAGGCTGAGTGTGAGTGAAGTTTTGGTAGCCCAAACTAGCCACAAAGGCTAAAAGAAGAGGAAGAGAAGGTAGCACAAAACAAGAGGAAGCAAAAAGCAAGAAACTCTCTTTTCTCTCCCAATTCTCACAGCTCCAACATTCACACTAGGACAAAATAATAGAAAACTGCCCCACTTATTAGCAAAGGTAAGTGTGCTTTAAGGTCAAACACAAGATGCCCAATAGTTAACAACAAGTGGGTTTTCAACCCTAGAGCCGTCCAAAGTAATGAGACGGACCATGAACAATACTAATAAGATTATGCTACTTCAAATGGCCCACTTAGGTTGTCGGAGTGGTTTGTTCATTGTGGTGTCGAAACTTCACTTCAATCATCGGCCGAGATTTATGAAATCTAATCCAAACTATAAAATCGGTTTCACATCATCGCCCGAATTTATTGGGTATCAAAACCCAACAGAGATAAAGACAAGTTTCATTTTAAGGCCGATTGTTATTACAATTTGATTTTATGTTTGATGTTCCAAGCTGGAGTTGAGAACGTAGTTTTTGCGTTTATATCAATATAGTGACATGATTGACACAATGAGTTTCGACCACACTTAATAGAAAGTGGACTAAATTGATCCAAAATGATTTTTGTGGTAAACTAGCATCCTATTTGTCTAAGTTTAAAAGTTACTTAAGCTTATTTTTAAATAACTTTTTATTTCTAAACATGTACAAATAGTTATTTTTTACTTATAGTAAAAAAAATACTTATACGTGATTCACATGATATTTATCAATCAAAATGACGGAATCCTTCTAACTAGGGGTGTCAATTTGACTCTCCGACTCGCGGCTCGGTAGAACCGTCCAATTTTGGAGCAACAAGCCGAGTTAGCCAATTCGGCTCGACGAGCTGCACAGGTCGGCCCATGTCATGGGTCATTTTTGGCTAGTAACATGCAAATTTAAAATTTAAAAAGTTTAATCATGTAGCTACCAAAGGCAGCTACATAGCTACTGCTACCTGCAATTGCAGGCAACTATTGCTACATGCTGCCTTTGGAAAAAAAAAATCAAGAGCCGACTCGGCTTTACTCGATAAGGCTTGAACAGAAAATTCGGGCAAGCCTGGATTTTTTGGACGAGCAAAATCTCAATTTAACTTGACCAAAAAAAATTCGAACCACTTTTACTCAAGTCAAGCCCAAACTTTGAGTTTTGGCTCACGAGTCGGCTCAACTCATTGACATCCCTATCTCTATTAGAGTAATTCTACACCAAAATTTATAGCTTGGAGGCAGTATTGTGAAAAAAACTACGTTGCAACTACCCTTGAAGATTGAGGACCAATGGAACAATTAACAGACGTCCGTACAACTATAAAGATCAATGGTTTTACAAGAACTGGCAATTGGGTTCTTGTTTTACATTTTTCTTTTCTTTTCCTCTTTTTATTAATAATTTAATATAAACAATACTTTTTTGTTAGCCTCTGTTTGGTATAGCCTAAAATTCAACAATTTGTTTTAACTATACATATAATGGGATCTATAAGCTCCCGTTTGATTGCCATAAAAAGAGTTTTTTTGGGAAAATAAGTTTTGAAATAGTATTTTTTTGAAAAATGTGTAATTATAGAAAAAAAAAAAATAGTGTTATTTTATTGTGTGAATGTATGATTAAAAATGAATTTGAGAAAAAAAGTAAAAATTATAAACAATACATTTTTAGACTAAGTAAAAAAAAGGTAAATTATAAACAACACATTTTTTTATTAGATTGAATATGAATACTGACAAATTCGTAATATGTATTATTTAACGTGGGGGCACAATTTATATGGTCTCTACAAAATCAACAAGAGAAGAGAGGTGAATTAAAATTTAAAATAGAATATTGTCGCAGAAAAGTACGACAAAATTTCACTGTCATTAATGTATGGAAATTTTAGTGGGAACTTTCCATTTGACAAGGAGCAATCACGACAACATATTTTTGGCCTTGGGACACCTTTCAATTCAATCCCAACTTTGTATAATTTTCTTTTGTCCAAGATCTTCCATGGTAAAAATCGGATATTTAGTTGATTTCGATAAAAGTAAATGAAATATATAGTAAAAAAGTCATGAATCTTATAAAATATGTGATTAAAATTCATTGTTGACCAGATAGTCCTCCAAAATTGCAACTTAAGCAAAGAGAAGGAAGGTAGTAGGCAAGGGGGCACCAAGTTTACGTTCATGCACCCAGAATTGGAAACTCATATTTCCTGCATCAAATTGCGCCTCGCTTTGGTAAATCGGATTTTTAGTAGATTTTGATAAAAGTTGATGAGATGTGTGGTTGAAAAATTGTGGATCCCATAAAATGTATGGTTAAAATTAATTGTTGACTTTGACTCGAAATTTTAATTCAAACCAAACACGTGTTGCATATTATCATTTACATATTGGTGAAGTGACAAAAAGAAAGTGAAAAAAAAAAAATATTTTTTAGTTAGTTGGTGAAAATTTGACTTAATCATATCTCATATCATCATCTGTTCATAAATAAATCTGTAAATTGTGATGTATTATAGAGAGAGCGACAGTCCCACTAATTGTGACAAGAACTTGAGCGAAGAGAAGCCAGCCAGCAATCAGCATGCTGCAGCTGGGGAACCCTCGGAAAACAAATAAACAAATAAAAGGGTGCCCCAAAATTATGCCCACACACCCACAGCCACAAACTCATCTTTCACGATCAAATTACATTGAAAGTGGTATCTTCATCAATCTGCTTTTGAAAATATGGAATTCGTGAACAATTTTCTAAATAACATGCTCCACAGACTCGTTGATTCACGCATAGTATCGAGATTTGGACACACGATTGAGAACACTTTCATTTCATTATGTTCCATATTTTAAAAGATCGAGTAGTCTTATTTATATAAAACATCTTAATAAAAATCTTAATTTAAGATGCGAGTATTAAGTATTATTCATAAGTCATAAGAAAATATTGAGTTATTCTAACATATTTGAAAGCAAAAAAGTTACTTTTAAAAGTAATTTATTTATGTATTTTTTGGCTTTTTAGGCTTTGCGAAACGTGTATTTTCCAAGTTTTGAGGAATATTGTTTTCACTGCGCCCGTTTTATGTTCATATATTATACATTACTTCAGCAATTTTTTTGTGAAATTTATAAAACAAACTCCATATAGCAGAAAAAAAGATTTACGTTGTCGACTCAAATCTATAATAATTTAAGACAAATATGTATATAAAAACTAGCAAATGCATTAATAACAAATAATTACAGCGAAATATTGATCAAAACCATGGGAAAATTATTCATCAAGTACCATACTATTTTCTAGCCAATTATGCTGTATTTTTCCTACAGCAGCTGAAGATATTCATCATACACCTTCTCCAGCATTATTACAGAGCTCGAAGAATCGGAATAATGGAGTGGGAAATCATAGGTGTTGAAAAAATCTTGACATTCATCCCAAACTTGATCAAACCCCCCACGATTTGCATGATCAATCTCAACCAAAGGCCACAGGTTAAGCTTTTCTGCGTCGTCGACTGAAAAATCACCTGCTGATGCAGCACTCAACACACTGTCTAAGCTGTTACTCCTCGAACATGCCGAAGAAAGCCTTATGGGTTTCGGAATATGGAGCGTCCTGGTCTCGCTACCTTGTGTATTTTTAGTATTATCATCACCATTGCTTTCCTTCTTTGTTCGTCTTCTCGTAATGCCAGTTTCTGGCACTGTAAATTTTGTTTTCTTTTTGGGGCCTTTTTTTGAACGCTTGTCTGTTTCTGGTTCAACTTCATTTTGGGTCTCTTGGTCGGGGCATTTCATCGAATGCTTGGGTATTTTTGGTTGAATACCTGAATTCTTGCGATTCTTCAACATATGGGTGTTCCAGTGATTCTTGATCTCATTGTCAGTTCGACCAGGCAATCTTCCGGCTATCAGTGTCCAGCGATTGCCCAATAAGGAATGGAGTCTGGTGATAAGATCTTCCTCGTCGGTAGTGATGTTTCCTCTCTTTATTCCTGGCCGGAGATAGTTCATCCATCTCAATCTGCAGCTTTTCCCACATCTTAGCAGCCCTTTTTCACAGAAACATCAGCAAAAATGTTAAGAACAGTCGGCTAAAACTCGCTTTTAAAACCAATTTGCAACGAGAGTGGGGTTGATGTGCTTATAGAGCACCACTCCACTCCCCAACATTTGTAAGAAGATTTAGAGAGAACAATTACCAGCTTTGTTGGGGACAGATCTCCACTGGCCTTCACCATGTTGTTGAATATAATTCCTTAGCAAAGTGTCTTCATCGGAGGACCATGGACCTTTCCGCAATCCCACTTTTGAACAACAAGGAGACCTTCCCATTCACTTCACTCTCAAATTTACTTACACACACAGCCAGTGAGGTGTGTTTGTTTTGAGGAGAGAAGTCAAGACTGCGACCTATATACTACAAGCTCATCATGTTGCTAATGCTCATCGTCATTTTAAAGAAAGAGAGTAATAATATTCACAGTAAAAACTACCGATAGTCTTCCTACAAGTCAATAAAATATTACCACATTAATACACCAAATTACAAACCGCTACATATGTTACTTAGAAAAACTACCGATAGTGTTAACTGCGAATAGAATTATATAAAGAGAACAATATAAGGAGTGTATAGGTATTTGAGGAAGAAAACATGCACTATTAGCATGGTCCTTATCTATTTTTTGTTGGAAGCATCCTGGTTCTTTATGACAAACTCCATCATAAAAAAGACAATAATAAATAAATTATGACCATGTTTGGTTCAAATTTATAAGTAGATTAAAATTTAAATCAAAATCAACATTTAATTTTAACCACACATTTCATTGAGAGTTGAGATTCACTGTTCATTTATGCTGTCCAATTTTCCGTCTACCCAATTACAAATTAACACATCATATCAATTGTGACAATGTGGAATCGAGTGGACAACAAAAATGGACAGTAAATCTCAACTCCTTCATTGGACCCACAACTTTTAAATCAAATATTCAATCAATTTTTATCAAAATCTACTAAAATATTTATTTTTATCTAAACCAAATAGGGGCTATATATGTACATCTTTCTAAATCCCTTCAACCATTTGTATCGATAATAACTTTGGATGCAATTCAATTTTCAAATTACTTCTTTGCTTTAAAGAAAAATGATTAAATTGTAAAAATATTCTTCCCTAGTTTCAATTTTGAGAGGAAATGATAAATTCCAACATTCTACAAACCATATTTTCAAATTTCAACCGTTAATTAGTCAATTTTACAAGGTTCGTACACCAATAATTGACTTGCCGTACGCGGTTGAAATTTGTAAATGGACACTTTGGTGCACACTAAGCTCCTATTTGGCTCCATTAAAATAAAATTTTGATAAAAAAAATATTTTTAAATAATAATTTTGTAAAAAATATGTTGTTAAAATTTTATTTTATTTTTAAATTGGGTTTATGCGTAATATTATTTTATGAAAGAATGTGATTGAAAATGCGTTTTGAAAAAAATATTTTTTGAAACTTATTTGGACTCCATTTTTATAAAACTCATTTTTGATCACATTCTCTCATAAAATAATATTACACTTAAATTCGAAAAAAATTCTTATTTTTTAATCACACGTTCTTCAAAAAATCACTTTTTCAATATACATTTTTTCTCACTCTCTCATTAAAATGGATCCCAAACAGAGTTTAATTGTAAATTAGAAATGCCTTCGCTATGTTGAACTCGATAAAACTTGTTGAAAATTAGAGAATTGCAAAATGCACTATGTCCCTATTTGATTTAGATAAAAATCAGATTTTTAATAAATTTGAATAAGAATTGATGAAATGTGTGTAAGTTAGAAAGTTCATAAAAATTATGGGTCAAATGAAATGCTTAATTAAAATTCATTATTAATTTTGACTTAAATTTTTATCAAAATTTTATGTTTGAAGTCAAACGAGCTATATTTGTTTGTGTTCAACCTAGTCCATTAATCTTCATTAGGTAGAAAGAATAGCAACATGTAATACATTTAAATGTCTAGTCCAATAATTTCTGAAGAATACGATTCCAATAATGACCATTTTTTTAATTATTGGCACAAACTTTATAACTTTGCTTCTATTAGTGTACTAGTACTTACACCATCTATAATTTTTTAATAAAAGTATGCAATATATTAATGTATCAATTGTAAATTCTATACAATGGACTGAGATTATGTACGTCGATAAATATGCCTTAGAGGAAACATGTAAGATACGAGTGAAATGAAATCAACCTTACTGTGAAGATCGACCCACGTACTAACTCTGCATAGTGAAATAATTACTCACACGTGAAGAAACATTTTGAGAAAAACACGAAAGACAACATTTATACAATTAAGATTCTACTGAGAAACCAAAATAAGCTCAACATGTGGAAGCTTTTGACAATCCGATGATTGCAACTATATAACTTCTTACAACCTTGTGCATAGCAGCATAGATCATATAGGGACATAATCACATGAATGATCCCTGATTCGATTTTCACATGTAGACCACGTAAATATCTGTTAACAAATCAAAGAATTATATGACATCAAATCAATTACAAAAAGATTTAAGCCAGTTGATTAACATTTGGCTAGATACCAAATTTTACTTCCAAATAATGCATCTTGTGGGAAAGGGTCCAAATCAACAGACCTTGTTTTCTCAAACTTGGGTCTATGTTGCAAAAATGGACAGGTGGTTTCAAAATCGAATAGGCAACCCGTGATTGAGAAATGTTCTAATACATCCATCCCAGCCTGCACTAACGATCACGAGACCCCACAGATGAGGAGAATGCAATGCATTCTGCCAAGCACTCTTTAGAAACTTGAATTCAGATTTACATACGGAAGGGGAAACTGGCACGGAACTTGAATTGGGCAGTTTCTCCTCCGGCCATGTTGCAGATCCTTTAGAATCCAAGAACCCTCGGCTCATTGTGAAAAGGTCAGGGAAAGATGCAGGCAGTTTTTGGAGCAATTTCTCGTCGAAATTTACGTTTCCTAAAATACTTCCTGGTAGTGCCCCCAACTTGGTTTTTAAGCCAACCCAAGGTATAGCAAGGGATGCGTTGCGTGAGAAGAAACTCTCACGTGATCGTACATTCTTTGGTCGAGCTGATTTCTTGTCCTCAGTAGTATAGTTCCAGATACAGATGTTTGAGTCCTCTGTGGCTGAGACAATGTGTTCACCGTCTGACGTGAAAGATGCAGTTGCTTGGCTTCCCGAACTTCGATTGCCTAGGGATAGCAAAAGAAAATTTTGAGTACAGACAAAGCATACCAGTTCAAAGTAATATTTCTAAGTAACTTTTTGTTTTCAAATATAATTGAATGAATTACATTTTTCTTACTTTTAAATTAAAAATAAATACTTATTTTGAAAGTAACTCTTACCTTAACGTCTTTAATTTTCCATTTTGATCAATTTATCTTAAAATTTATGTATAAACTTTTAAAGCTTTGAGGAACACGATCTTAATAATCTAGTGAAGGGAGGGGGAAAGTCATCTACCAACCAACATGCAAGCAAATAAATGAATCAACACCTTTGAATTTGCAGATGACATCAGTCCCACGAAGTATTTGTACTTGTGAATCAGCAGAAGTGACCATTACTTTGTTCGCATCATTAGGGCAAAACTGAACAACAACATGATTTATAAATGCATGAAGACATCAAAATATAAATAAAAATGACAAACTACGATTGAGTTCAGAATGGCTTACCTGAAGTCCAACTATCCTCTTTCCAGCCAACTTCTTCTTCCCATTTAAGCATACTTGAACATCCAATTCCAAACAATTATCTATACCAAAGAGGTTATGCAGCATCAATGTCAACTTTTCTTGGGTCAATCGGACGTGATTACACAATATCAAGGGGAAAAAAGGAAACTAAAATCTTGCACACTATATTATCCAATTCATTCCAATCTAATAATTGGTATGCGCAAAAGTAAATAAAAAATCATTTAAATAATTGTCGCATCGTCAACATTGCTCATATTAGCCCACGCTACATAGTCGAATTATTTAAAGTTTCACAAATATATAACAACAAAACACAAAATATTCTTTAATGTGAACATATTTCAGAGAAAACATACTTAATGGAACCAAAACAATAGGTGAATATACCCCGGAGATCACAAAACATGCATCCACCGAACGACTATTTTCAGTCATGACATATTAAACTTTATTTTCATACTTATCAGGTTCAGCTTATAAGTAGTGACACGGAGTATTCGAATAGTCCTAACTCCATTAATATTGATATGAAAAAGAAATATGCCATTGAGACTATTAATACATACCAACAATGTGATAAAAACGACAATTGCCATCCATTGTGCCTACAACGCCTCTCTGTAGAATAAGAAATAAGATATTTTGAGAAATATGACAAAGCCTACATACACCTTAAAAGAAGCTAGAAATAAAATGTCGAATAAACCTTTCCATCAAGACGATAACACACAGCAGTCACTATTTCTCTAATATCAGTCCAATCTCTGACTCGACAACCTTGAACTTCCCAGATGCGTATTTTCCCATCTATGGAGCCACTTATGAAATAATTATCATCTACAGGATTGAATTCGATGCAGGTCACTGTAGGGAGTAATAAAAGAATTAACATAAGTCTATGAAAGATTGCGAAAATCAGAATTTATATTTAGAGCGTGTTTTGCTAAGCTTAAAAAGTTTACTTGTAATTTCTTCTTTTGCTGGAAGTAAGAAAAAATAACATATCTAAGCATGTCCGAAAACAAAACTTTTTTATTTATTTTTTTAAAGCTTAACCAAACACGCTGTAAGTAATGCAATCTAGCCATCATAGGCTTACCATAGTTATTATGTGAATAAATTCCTTGGCATTGATCATGCCCCAATGTCCATAAGCGAGCTGTTTTATCAACTGAAGATGACAGCAAATGCTGCAAAAGAGAAAAAAATACAAGTACCGTTAACTCCACGAGACATCGCTTTTTTAATGAAGTCTAAGGCTTATGGCAAATGTAGGATAACCTAATATATTCAGAACCAGAGTGTGAACGACACTAACCCCATTCTTAGACCATGATAAAGCCAATACTTCACCGCTATGCCCATGGAACTCATGCAAAGGCTTCTCCAATAACTGAAAAACTTTAGGGGGAAGAATGGCGCAAGCCGAGTCTGATGATTTTCTCATACTTTTCATTGGGGTAGTCTTCTCTTTATCAACATCAAGAGGAGCTAACGAGGATAAATGATTCAGCGAGAAGTATAAACAAGATGGATCCATATCTTGAAGATCAAATTTGTTCGGAGACTCATCCTCAAGCACCTTCCAGACACGTACAACTCCATCTTCTCCAGCAGTAGCCAGGTATTGCCCATCAGGACTGAACTTCATTGTCAAGATTGAGCCCTCGTGTGCAGAAAATTCTTGCCCTGTACAAAGAAATGACAATTCCTTTGAACGTTTTTTACATTCATTAACTTGAACTCTTCGAGTTCCGGCCGCTATCTTTGAACTGTTCTCATTAGGTCTGAAATGAACTCCCTTTCTCCAATCTGCATTACGAGTCAAGCCACTCAATTTCCCAATCCAACCACTGTTTACTTTCTTCTTTGTGCCAACCATGTTAATTCCCTTTGATTCTTTATGCAAAAACCGTTGAACCAAAGAAAATGAGCCAAGTGTTCTTAGGAACTCTTCAAGTGAAACCATTTTATCGGAACCCACTTTCCGTAGTCTAGCGAGCATACCATCCCTATCCTTTCCATCCACAACAAGTTCAGTTCCATCATCCAGATTCCTTATTTTCCACACAAAATTCTCCATTGCACTGCCTTCTATGAATTCCAACGATTCAGTCGACTGCAAAGAATGCGCTGAACAACTCAAGGAAAGCTGTTGTTCTGATTCAACATTTGCCAGCACAGTTTCTCCATTATCTGTTAATCTATCGTAGCCGGATTTACCTTCACCACTGCAAAAACCTTCCTCTTCGTCTCTTTCTGTAGTGTGCCAATCTAAATTCAAACCTATCCATCTCAAAAACTTACTGCGTCGTTCATCAACACTTTCTGGTTTCTCTGTCCAAACCTCGTATCCTAAAGCATAATTAGCAAGCCCAGAATTCGAACAATACAAATCGGACACAGAAGTGATCTCATCACGGCAGTCAAAGAATTGATCATCCTCTGTTTCATCGCAACCACTCATCTTTGTTGAATTTTAAATATTCAACAAACATAAACCTACATGTAAAACCGACACATACATCAAAAATAGATCTTTAACCTTAAATTTTTGGTCTTACATCCAACCAATTATGATCAAAAAATAAAACTTAATAGTTTTTAATCAAAACAGGGCATAATCCCTAAATTATAAAACCCACCAAAAAAATATATGATAAAACTAAACCCAAAACCCCATATAAATTAAAACAGTTTGCATATATATATATATATGTATGTATGTACATACATACATACATACATACATACACGCAGAATAGATTAAAATCCAAAAGCATAGATGTTGCAAGAATCAACATAAATGACCAAACCATGATCGAATAACATGTTCACCAACCCAATATCACAGTGTTGAAATCGGATTAAAAACTTAATAAAAATAATCACTATGATCAACGGATTTATCAAACTGCACGAGATAACTCGGCAAAATATTAACAAATTTCCTCACCTGGGCTGTCAAATATATGAGACGGGACACCAGAAATGCTTTTTCATATGACTCTTTTTCAATAACATCAATGATTTTATAATTGTAGCAGAAATTGCTAAAAAGTCAGTCTTGAAACTAGAATTAGTCAATAACTAAATTACGAAATGTAAAACTATGAATGAACAAAAAATATTCTAGGGACAAAATTGAAAAGAAAGATGCTTACTATTATGTGACGAGACTTCGAAGAAAAGGCAAGGTCATAAGGTGGAAAGATGGTGTGGATTCTCTGTAAATTGTGTCTTTTGTCTTTTTTCCTTTTTTCTCTCTTTTTCACTTTGATTTCATTTGTTAGATTATATGACAGTTTTGTCCCTCCACTTTGATGCATCCGTCCAACCAACGGTTATGACTATTGATTAAGGTGACGAAATTACGATGTATTTTTATTTTAAATCTTATGTACAAAAGAAAATGACATTAAAAAAATGGTTACAACCCATGTTTTACACTAGTAAAAGTCAAAAATTTTATTAGATTCATGATAGTACAAGAAGATCAAAGTCAGCTTTGGTGTTTGGTTAGACGTCTAGCTAGCATCCATCATCAGCGTACGTCAAGTCTCAAATCCATGAGCGTGATTAGAGAATAGGGAGTTAGTATTTAAATAAAAAATTGTTAAACAAAATCTCAAAATAAATAAGTTCTTTTGCAAATGTAAACAAGGCATAAAAAGAGTGATAATCCTATACGACCGGAAAATATAATGATAAAAAAATTTAACTATCTAATGCTAATATGCATTATATAATATTATCGGAGAAAAATATGTTAAAATTTTATTTCTTAGTTTGGCTGATATTGTGTACCAAACATGAAATAGTGAATTTATTTGATGAGGTATATTAATTTCTTTGTTTTTCTAATATCTATATTATTTTCAGCACTTTATTTGTTGAGCGTTTCAAGATTAGGTTTCATCTCTAGATTTTTCTATTTAAACTCAAGTTAGAACATCTTTTGGTTCTTTTATAAATATAATAAAAAATTATAAAATTTGAAAAGCATCAGTATTTTCAAAGAAGACTTGCTAAATGCAATAATTAAAAAGTATTTCTTAAGTCATAACAATAATAACAACAATGTATATAAAAGTTTAGAAGTTGGAGAAACATTTATGAACTGTAATAATAATACCCACAAAAAAAATATTATATTTTAATATATTCGAGGGTATTAACCTCTATTCATTTTACTAATTCTCACCAAACCTCTTCTTTCCATATTTTTCTTAAGTTTCTTCCGTGGAGTTAAGATCTGATGTCCACCCATTAATTATTAAAACGTTATTTTGAATTGACATGCTATCAATTTGATGAGTTAGTGGTAAATTTGATGAGAATAAATTTGAGATTACGCGTTAATTTAAAATAATGTGTCTATAATTAATTGGGTGGACAGTAAAAATTGAACAACATATCTCAATTCCCTTATGTGACACATATTTCTATTGGATTATACATAATTCAAAAGTCTTTGATCAAGATGTTTAAAAACAAAATGTCTTCTTCAAGAGATAGTGGGTGGCCTGTCTCCAATGACTTAATTTGTGACCAAGAAAAAACATAATAAAGAAATAGATATTAAAATAAAATGAGATTTCCAAGTAAATTCTAGGGTGGTTTCTAGGGTTTCGCTGTGTGGGGCTTGGTTTGGAGAGTGGGAAGGCTCCCTAGTCAGCAAAAGAGTTGACTTTGACTAAGTCAACCACCAACCCTGTTTATTTCATTTTTTGTTTGTTTAGAGAATTTGGATTCCAAACAATTGAAAATTTTGTGAATGTTTCAATTGTCATTTGTCAAATGAGATTCATATAGAGTAATGTTACTTGCAGTCGTTCAATGCAACAGTCGCCATATGTGGCACACATATGGCATGTAGTTATTTGATGCATCAAATACACACTTGACATGTGTGTGTCACGTAAGGCGAGCGACTGCAAGTAGTATTATTCTTTATGTATGGAACAGGAAGCTTTGGATCAATATCTTCACACTACCATCAACTCCATCAGAACAAAACGGGATACAATTGACTTTCTGCAACTTTCAAATTTAAGTAATGAAAAAACGATCCGAATTTATAAATTCAACTTGTACAAAGTTCATACAAGGATTTCTGACATCTGATGTAGATCTTAGTATTTCACAAAGTGATGTATAGTTCGTTTCCCTTTTCCAACTTTGCAGTATTGCAAATACACCAAAATGCTGCAAATATAAATGCCAGTAACAGTGGGGACCGATGGATCTCAGCTCATTGATCGGCATTTATTCCAAAGATGCGAACCTTGTGCATACGTGGGAACTTGGCAACTACCAGAATGAAAACAGCTAGTGTGTTTAAGAAGAGCATAGGATGTTGATAATCTGTTGTGTGTGAGGCTATTAAGTACCTGCAGATGAAACGAGGATAAGCACGAACTGGTTCCAGTCAAAAGAAGATATCTTCGACCCAAAAATTACATATATTGATAGGATGATGGGAAGCACAAAAGAAAAGGATATTCCTCTCTAATTAATCAGAAAAGGGATTCTATCATGATAAAACAAAAAAGATGTCATAATATTAATAGGAGAATTTCAATGGATTGTTGTGTTCACACATCAATAAATTGAAGCAGGATAGTCGTGATCAATGTGTCTAAGGTAATCATAAAACAAAAGTACATAGTGCTAAGTTGATATCTTTTCAGACTTCAAACTTGCATAGCCCAATCAAAAAATTTAAATTGGAACAAATTCTTTGCTACAAGAGGTAAAACATGTGAATCAGATGGTAAACTAGGTTTTTAATGCAATGATATTGCACGGATAAGCAATCAAGTTTTGTCTATTGTGCAGCAAACCTTTTCCAGACAAAAAAAAAACTCTTCGAACTCATGACGCCTGGTGAATATGCAATCAAAGGCAACAAATGGAATTTTATAAAAGAATTTCTACACTGCAAAGGCCCAACTTGCAATTTGTCAACCCAACCACAACATGTCTAGTAATATTTATTATCTAGCAAAATTATCATATGAATTAGTCAGGGTAAGATATCACGTATAATCTATATAGAACAAGAAGTTCAAGGTGTTGACCATTCTAAATCATTATCATCTCCAAAAATACAAAGACAATGCCGCAATGCGATATTTAGAAGAAAAATACTCTAAACAAAGGAACATCAAGCTAGAATAAAATTTGGAACCATTTGAACATCAAATAAATAACCCCGAGTGTGTAATATCAGTATACATGTGGTATCAAATTGCCAAATAATGAACAGCTATATGAAAGAAGCTTCAACCAAAGTTCCCAGCCAAAAAAAATAAGAAATAAAAAAATTAAGAAAGTGAAGCTGAATATCCATTTGTTTGCTGATCAATCAATATCTAAAACCCATAAGGTAGGCAAGGAATGGCATCCAAGAAGGTAGTTTGATTGCAACAGATTACAGAAAAGATTTGAGCGTTTAGTACGTTTCATCGAGCTTAGAAAATGGAAATTCACGTCTTAAATCTCAGTGGGGCTAGAAGCAAGGAATCTTATACCCAGTTTCACCCAGGTATACCAGTTCCTATCTCCGTAACTCAACAAAAAGCTAACAAAACTTCTGACCTAAATCCTTTCTAATCAACCACAACATACATTTGCCCTTTTCTCACCACGTGTTCTGCAATTTATCAAATAGCTTCAACTTCAAGACCAAACTTGACAACAGTGCACAACCAGACAAGTATATTTGAACCTTTTGTCGTGGATGCGAGGAAGGCTACAAGAGTCTGTTTCTATTATCTCATAATTGGAGAAGCTTATGCGATATGGCAGTAGACTGCAGCACCACCAATGGCGGTGGTGGTGCCATCTTTGTTAATAAGTCCCCTTTCATTTTGCAGTGGCACAAGACAAACAATTGAAACACTTTCATTTCACGATTTAACTCATCTATATAACTAAAATCCTAAATAAAAATCTTAGATTGACTCAATTATGAGTACAATGTTATTGATTTATTAATACTTATTTTACCATAATGACAATGAACAGATCTTGCTTACAATACACTGGATGTCACCAATAATGAATTTTATTTACATTATTATATAATGATATGGAAAGGGAAAAGGAAAAGGATTATTCTATACACAGCAAAAGCACTAAGCAAGCAAGCTACTTTGACTTTCACATAGCATTAACGGAGCAGGAGACTTAGGAGCAAGAACAGTCTTTCACTTTATTATTCAAAATCACATTCATGTAGAAGTAAAAAAAAAACATTGTGGCTCATTCAATGCACGTTACACAGTCTTCTATTGTGCTTGCAGTGCCTTTCGAGTTGAGCTTAGAAGGAGCTTATTCAACTCAGTATTTTTTCTGCTTTACCTCGTGGAAGTTCACATACACTAACAATTGCAATTTATACTGAAAAATTCACTTATAAGACGAACTATTTCGAATGGACATAGAGGCTGATAGATCAAAGCGTAAGAAACATTAGGGCATGGGCATATTGCTTGTTGTCTAAATATTTCTCTCTGGGCTAATGCAATCTTTGATGTCAATGGATCATTAAATACAAAATCATAGAGCATTTGACACCTTACACAAGAAAAGGCCTGCTGCAACACTGTATAACACTGTGCAAACTGTGAAGGGCTTGATATAATTTACTACCTCTAAATAAGACAAAAATCAATTTGATAACTAATGAGGAACAAACATACATAAAGATTGAGAGAATACTTACAGCACCACGGGTACGACTGTCAAAAACTTCCTATTACGAGTCAGCTGCTTGCCATTTTCTATTTGCTCCCACCAAGTCAACCTATTGTAGACACCCTGGTCTTCTGAAAATGGTGTTCCCTTCTTCCAGTGAAAGAAGTGATAAGTAACCTAGACCACAGATGAGAAAATTCACCACATTTTTCATACAATATACAAGCTCTATCCTAGCAGTTACAAAGATCTAGAGAAAGTAAACTGTCTGTAAAAGTTTGCTTATAATGAAATCAATAAAGGAACTACTTGGGACCCATAAGCAGAGTCCACAGATTTATATGATGAGGTCATGCTGATAAAGTAGTTTGTATGACTCTGGAGACTCAATTGAGTGTACCCTGTGGTTCTGTGTTGTTGCATAGTTCCACTAGCATCCATGACAACAGAGAGATTCCACTATTACCTCAAACATAAGCTATATTTCAATTTAGGAAAAATAGAGGGCTAGAATGACTGTGCACATAAATGTACATATTCAACACTGTAAAAATGTTACCTAAATGTTTCATCAAATCATAGATTCCACAAGAACCACAATTATCACTTAAATGGTTAATTTTTCTAATTAATTCTTGACTGGTATGCGATTCTCCTAGGATGATACCTACCTAACCCCCCACCCCTACTCCCCCACCCCAAATTAAACATGAAAACCAATATTTTGCAGTTTCCATTGAAAATGTGATACAAATGTTATATATAAATAGTTTATCAAATTATAATTTCACAAGAACCACGATGATTGCCTAATGGTTTTCTACTTAATTTCAAGCTGTTAAATCATTCTCATCCTGGGACCTTATCCCCACTAAACATCAAAAACAATATTTAGCAGTTCCTATCGATAGAAAAGTGTAATATAAATGTTCAATCAAATTATAGATTCCACAAACACCACAATTATTATATAACTGGTTAATTTTTTACTTAATTCTCAGCTGGTAAATCATTCTCCTAAGAAGATGCCCACATAAAACATCAAAAACACTAAAATAAGATCAAAGAACCTGTCTATCGTTACTCAGAAACATAAAAACTTCCAGCACACACAAAATTAATTAAATAAAACCGTAACAACAAAAAATTAAAAATAAAATCCCCGCTCCTTTCATATCACAGATAAACATAATTATTAAATCATTATATATATAATTTAGAACGTACGAGGAAATGGGTGATATGAACAATGGTCCATGCCATGCCAGGAGAACAGCCGAAAACGGAAAGCACAATCAGCCACGAGAAGAACAATATTAGGATGTAGGTGGTCCACACACCGGGGTACGTGAACCACTCCGTGTTCCGATTCAGATCCGTCGGCGGCACCGCCTGAACATACAATTTCGCCATCTCAAATCACGTTCCTCTAAAACCTTCAACTTTTAAATCCAATTACTAATTTCACGCTCCTCCTTCCTTATCCCCTTCCAAAATTGTTTTGTATGATAACTAATATTGTTGATTAATCGATAATTAATTGGAATTTGACTAGAGGCAGAAAAAAGGGCAATGATATTTGTTTGTGTATGCGCGCCTCTCTCTTCCCCTCTCTCTACAGATATTTATGTATAGTAATACTAGTATGTGTATTCTTGACCGTCCCTTGAATTAAGCCCGTGTTTGGCAAGATTCTTTAAAAATAAATTTTTTTTTTTAAACTCATTTTCAATCATATAATCTCTTAGAATCCATTTGATTACAAAGATAGAAAATTGGTGGAAAGAAAATGAATTTCAGGAAATTAAATTGCCTAAAAATTTTTTTATTGAGAATTATAATTAATTGTGTTTGGTTGGTATAATTTTCTATCTAATCATTTGACTTTGTTTTTCATGCAAATTGTTACTTTTTGAGATAAATTTTTTTGTGTTCATTTGGTTTTATTTTTCATGCAACTTGTCAATTAAATGAATAGATTTTTTTATCATTGGATTTGAAATTTGTTCCAATTGCAAATTAAAAAGAAAAAGATGGAAAATCGGATTCCCACCAAAAACCAAAGAAAACAAATTCATTAAAAAGTAAGAAAGTTGACGCATGAAGGTAAGTGGAAAATGAATTCTGGGTAAAGTATTGTCTATCAAACGGCTTCAAAGTTGGAAAATGGAATCATTTTTCCCACTTCCATGGAAAAGGTCCCTTATCAAACAGGTCTTAATTAAATAATTTACACTTTTTTTTAAGAAATGTGAGGGGGTGTGGACATCACTATATACATAAATTATGTACACATATCATATCCCTCTTTTTTTTTACTTTTAATTACATATTGTCCAAAAAATCACTTTTCACAGAAAAATTATTCTCAAAAATTTAACATCAAATATGCTCTAAGATATCACTAATTGCTTGTTTGATAATTTTTCGTTAAAATTTAATCAATATTTAACTGATCAAAATTTATTTTTAATTACACGTTTTATAGAATTCAAAGCTTTAATTAAATTTTTTACTATATTTCATTAACTTCTATTAAAATTTATTAAGATTTTTCTCAAAAATATTTGTCAAACCATCCCTCACGTACATGGATCTACATAAATGTATCAAATTTTCTAATAAATCGATGCTAATTAATTTTTAATGTTATTGTTTACAAAACAATTTTATAATTTATATTGATGAAATATTTTACAATAAAGTCAAGGGAAGAGTTGTTTAAAAAATTAACGTATAATTGGTCGTGTCATGAAAGTGTCATTGAACTTCAAAATGCTTCTCGGTCGTCTCTCAACTTTAAAAGTTTCTCTATATTCACCACTAGTTACACTTTCATTCTTCGCATTTGAAGGATCTACCTACGTGGTTGACGAAATTACCACTTGACAATGTTCCGTCAATCTGCCAACTTCTAAGGAGGATATTTTGATGTGTCAAAAAACGTGCTGACGCGGCTGTTGAAAGACGAAGATGATATCAAATTATTTTGATTCCAATTTGTTGAAGAAAATACGAGATCTTAGACACAAAATAAAGTAATTGATCACATGAACAAAATAATTTGCAGAATAAAGGAGATTTCATTGAAATATGGAGAAATAATACAAAGATTTTGTATTTATAATTTTGTCTAACTTAATCTAAAATACAATGAAGAGCTAAATATATATATGAGATGTTTCAAACCCTAAAAGTAGAGTTATAGATGAAAATGAATGTTCAATACGCGTCAAAACGCGAAAACGAGCCTACGTTAGACGAGCCGCAGCTCGCTAAGAGGGAGCCAAGCTAGCGGCATTAGCGTAGCTCGAGCGCAGGCTTCCGACGATGTCGTCCGAGTGGTAGACTAGCAACCAGCTAGTAGAAACTTGCCAAAAATTTCTTCATTATTCTTATCTTGACATCTTCAAGTTCAATGCAAATGCTTTTAAATAGAATTTCAACTAAAATTTACCAATTAAACTTCGAATAGGATTCCAAATAGAATTCAGGTTACACCCTAATTTTAACAAACTATACATTGACATGAACTTCACTGTAATGAGTAAATTTCAAAGATTCTCCACATGGAGACAAACTCTACTGTAAGGAATAACCTTCAACTTGTCGACAAAAAAACACAAATGAAATTCTCCATAAAAATTGCTAACTGAAAATATCCTCCAAAACTCTGCAATCCAATTAGGGTAAAACTCAATACCCAAGTATTAACAAGCATTGGCCTTAGACATCACCAAACGGGATAGAAACAAGCCCTGAAACAGAATCACCACGACTAAATGCATCAAAAGAAGAATTTTGGTTATAATCAACAGCCCTAACCACATTCAAACCATAAACAATTAAACCAGCAACATTGTACCTATGGTGAGGCTTATGATAAAAAAAAAAAAAGGATATGTTATTAGCAACTGAATACAATAGCGTTGCCAATAATTAGGGGTGGGCAAAACCCGACCAAACCCGCCCAACTCAAACCAACCCGATCGGTTTGGGTTTGTTTTTTTTGTTGTTTTTACACGGGTTGGATGGGTTGGCTGTGTCGACGGGTTGTGTTGGGTCAGGTTATGGGTTAACTCATGAAAATCGAACCAACCTGCCCAACCCAACCCACATACTTAAAAATAATAATAATAACAAATAAATAAATAAAATGCCTAAAAAGTAAAAGGAATTTAAAAAGTATGAGTGGATAGTGTAACTCTAATTAGTTTAGTGCATTTTAGAGGAGGAGTTTACTCTCATTCCCACAGGAAATGTATAATTTTTTCATGTTATGTTAAATGCGCTTTGTTCTTTATAGACTCGGCTAATGAGAATTGAATAAAATAATAGATAATTTTATTTATTTACTTATTATTTAATCTTGTCTATTCAAATTTAGTATAATAGGCAATTTGATGACTTTAATTTTTGTTGACAAATTGTCACAAACCGATCAACTCAATCCAACCCAACCCAACTCGACTGATACTTGATTGAGTTGGGTTGAGTTTCAACCTTTACACGGGTTAGGTTGATTAAACTGATCATGTTGGGTTTGGGTTGAGGCAAAAACCGACTCAACCCAACCCAACTCATGTCCACCCCTACCAATAATAGTGGCAATGTGACATTACCCATAATTTCTAAATTCAGCCTAGATGTATTCTTCAAAAAAGACCACAAACTAGACTCCAACGGTACATAATCACTCCAAATCCACCAGAGTACTTAAAATACACTGATTGATCGAAAATTCTGTATAACACTGTAAGACATATAACTGAGATTTTATATGTCCCTTCAACAAAACATAGGTTTCTTTACTAACTTTCAAGACCCCACCTTCAACAATATACTTGTACCCTTTTAAATTAAGAGTACTCAAGGAGATAAGATTTCTATTCAAATTTCGAACGTGTTTCACTACATCAAGTGTTCTAATCGTCCCATCAAATATTTTTATTCTAATATCAAGTGTCCATTCGTCTTGCAATAATTACAAAACTTGAAATTAGACTTTAATTTGTCACTTGCACAACCATCATCAATAACAATATCATCCCAATGAATATCAAATCCAACAAGATACTTCATCTTTTCATTTGAATATAGAGTATCATATATTTCTTCAATAATGAGAGTATTACGACTATATAAAATCGTGTCTCCAAAAGAAATATATGAAGTGATCAAATTAACACAACAAAATCAAACCCAAATTCTTTTCGTTATATTTAACCTCCAAAATTTCTAAATCAGTAACGATTTCCTTAAAAATGGCTAGGTGATCTTCAAGGGATGTATCTCATGTCATATGATGAGAATATAAGCGTTGCTTCAGATGTAATTTCCTAGTTATACTTTTCGTCATGCATAATTGTTTCAATTTCATCTAAAATGCAGCAGCTGGCTTCTTCAAAACGTCTTGAAAAACATTATTTAAAAGATGAAGATGAATCTAAGATAGGAGCCTTTCGATCCCTCCGTTATTTCTCCCTTAGCATCCAATTGTCGAAATCTTGTCCAAACCCAATAGAGCGTTGCCCAGATCCCTCTGCGTAAGTACTATTCGTATTTGTACTTGTCACGACGAAAATCTTGTGTTGAGATCTAAATGCAGAATATCATATTCCATGGTTGCAATCACAAAAGAACAAACAGAGTCAAACCTTCCTCTCCCAAGAATTTTCAAGCATTTAACTCTGATACCAGTTTGTTGAAAAATAAAGATAATATCGGATTGTTTTGATACTAATTTGTTGATAAAAATACAAAATTATAGGCACAATATGAAATAACTGATTGCAAGAACAAAATAATTTGTAAAGTAAATGAGATTTCACTAAAATATGGAGAAATAATGCAAAAATTTTGTGTTTAAAATTTTGTTGAACTTAATCTAAAATACAATAAAAAGCTAAAAGACGATGGGCTAGCGGCCAACTAGTGAAAAAACATCGAAAATTTCTCCTTGATCCATATCTTGATCTCTTCAAGTCTAACATAAATTTCAACTCCCAATTTAGCTTCAAAATATAATTTCAACTATAATTTGTCAAATAAACTTTGAATACGATTCCAACTAGAATTCGGGTCACACCCTAATTCTAACAATGACGAAAATTACTCCACTCAAAAAACAATTTTTTTCTCCCCACAAGTGAATGGATGGAGAGTATTGACAAAATTCAGTGTTCAACAAATATTATATATTTCGATGAGGTCCATGTAAAGCGACCAAAAGATCAAATAATAACTTGTTTCCTCAATGAATTTACCAGAATGGAGATACTTTAATTTTTAAACTACTTAAATTGATAGGTTAAGTATAAGGTCGCAAGTCAAATTTTAAAATTGTGCACGAGGAAAGGATTCTAAGCAAGATGAATATTGACGTGAGGAGGGATAAGTTTAATTGTATCTTA